CCTCGGCGGTTTCCGGGGACTCGTCCACGAACCTTCTAACGCGAAGGGTTTAGGGCTTAGGGATGAGGATTTAGGGTTTAGGGTTTAGGGTTTAGGGTTTAGGGTTTAGGGTTTAGGGTTTAGGGTTTAGGGTTTAGGGTTCAGGGTTCAGGGTTCAGGGTTCAGGGTTTAGGCTCTTGACCTTCGAGCCCTGTCTCTCTCTCTCTCTCTCTCTCTTTGCCGTAGCTGCGGTACATATGCGGGGTCGCTGGAGTGAGTCTGCCCAAAGGGTCCATGTACCCATATAGTATATACTTGGGCCCTAAAGCTACTATATGGGAACCCCTTTAAGGCCCAAGTATATACTATATAGGTACATGGACCCTTAGGGCTGGCAGTTGAAGAATTTGAGGGCTTCAGTTTTAGGACGTTGGGATGGGTCATGGTCCCTTCACATAGGGCCCTTAGAATGGGACCCCGTTATATATGCCCCGTTTTATACCCTACAACATCCCAAGGGCCCATACTTCGTAACCCTCCAGGAAAAAAGGGAAGGACCCTTAGACTGGATGTTGGAGCTCATAAGGTTTGAGTAGTCGGGATCTTCTGAGGCTCCGAGCCCTACACCCCTGCTGTTTGCTACACAGTATCCTCGGTTCTGAATTCACAGACCTTGGGGCACCCTAAACCGTAATTTGACCCAAGGGCAACCTGGGAGTACAAAAAGGGTGCCCTTTCTATGGTTTAAAGGGGCCTTAGCGGGGAACCTGAACCCTAAAAGCAAGGACAAGCTTTGTGTCTGAGTAGCCCTAAACCCTAAACGCCCTACACCCTACACCCTACACCCTAAACCCTAAACCCTAAACCCTATACCCCAAACCCTAAGCCCTAAGCCCTAATTAGCCCTAAGCCCTAAGCCCTAAACCCTAAACCCTTTCTTCTTGCACCTAGGTGGCTTTATGATCTCGCGAGATGGCACCTCTGGCAGCGACCTGGCCGAGAGGTCGTCGCGCGAGATCGTCTTCGTCATGAGGACCTGCTGGGTGTCTTTGGGGGTTTAGGGTCTAGGGTTTAGGGCTAGGGTTTAGGGTTTAGGGCTAGGGTTTAGTGTTGAGGGTCTAGGGTTTAGCATTCAGAAGTCTGGGGCGTAGGGTTTAGGGTTCAAGACTTCAAGAAGCTGCAAAAGCCTAGGAGCTTGGGGCCCTCAGGCCGAAAGCCCTGAACCCTAATCACCCCACCCCATGTCCGAAGCGACCTGTCACGGTTGCTCTTCCAAGATCTGTCGGGAAAAGCAAGGTTCGGCAGAAGTCTTGGGGTTACTTACTGTTGGTTGCTAGGGAATGACGGAATGAGGTACCCTATGTAATCCTTCGAGGGGTATATATATATATATATGTATAGAGGCGGGAAAATAGGCTGCCTCATTCCCTCATTCCCTACTAACCAACAGTAAGGTTTGGGGCTGGGGCTGAGGGCTTCAAGGTTTACAGGGAGCACAAAAGGTTTGGGCTGAAGGCGTGGGATATTGAGGTTCACCTTGTCTACAGAAGTCCAAGCCAGAAATAGAAATCCGAAACCCTAAACCCTAAGCCCTAAACCCTAAACCCTAAACCCTAAACCCTAAACCCTAAACCCATGCAGGGTGTAGGGCGTTCACGGGAACCTGCAGGCTAGTGAGTGCTGACGGTCCACGGGGCTCAGGATGCTTAGGGCTGTGGGACTGATGAGCTCATGTCCCTAAATAACTCTGAGACCTGATGGAAGTTAGGAATGCAAGCTTTCCCTAAACCCTAAACCCTAAACCCTAAACCCTAAACCCTAAACCCTAAACCCTAAACCCTAAACCCTAAACGCTCTGGTTTCCCTGGCCCACACCGTGGGAGAAACATACCCCTATCGAACTGCTGGATGGAAGCGCGCAAAACCCTAAACGAAACCAAGGCATGCAGCCACGACACGCAGAAGAGTCCGCAGGGCAACCAGAAGGCGATACCCAGCATGAAGGAGTCCTGCTTCGAAGTTGGGGACTTAGGCTTGGCGTTTCTAGGGTTTTTTTGAAAGTTTAGGGCTTAGGGTTTAGGTTAGGGTTTAGGGTTTAGGGTTTAGGGTTTAGGGCTTAGGGCTTAGGGCTTAGGGTTTAGGGTTTAGGGTTTAGGGTTTAGGGTTTAGGGCTTTTGAAGGTTTAGGGCGCAGGGGGTTTAGGGCGATTAGGGACTCGGGGCGACCTGAGGCTTCTGGGTTGAATGGCCAGTCAGGTCTTTGCGGGGTTTTTTGGGGGCTTTAGGGGTGTTAGGGTTTTTGTTTTAGGGTTGTTTAGGGTTTTAGGGGTTTTAGGGGTTTTAGGGTTGTTTAGGGGGTTTTTAGGGTTTTTTAGGGGGTTTTTAGGGTTGTTAGGGGGTTTTTAGGGGTGTTAGGGGTTTTGGGGGTTTAGGGTTTAGGTTCTTTTTCTTGTTTTGACCCGTGGCTCTCCGTAGGGAGTGGGGGAATGAGGTGCCTTATACCCCCCCTCTCTATAGCCTTTATAAGGTGCACAAAAGAAGTAGCTTTGGAGGGATTATATTTACATGTGTGTGTAAATAAGAAAGTAAGTAACTACGTAAGTAAGTAAGTCAGTCAGTCAGCCATTAAGTAAGTAAAGTGGCCCCCTGCATTATGAAACTTAAACCTTGTGACAAGTGATCCCCCATGATAAGCTTAAACTGTTGCCATTTGTAGAGCAGGATCCCCTGTGATAGAACAAGTCCCCCTTAAACGGTCGCATGCCAAACAAGCCCGACATCCCTAGCAAGCCTACCACCTGCCCAACAAGTACGATAACCCCAATCCCTAGAACCCCGCACTGGCCCTTAAATCCCTAAACCCGGGACCCCTGCCTTATGAACCCCTAAAGCCCTACAACTCGCAAGAGATCCCTCAAAGTCCGAAACGCCACACTAAAACAGAAACAAAAAACACAAACAACCACAAAATAAACAAAGCAGGCAAACACACCAAATGCAACCCTAAACCGCAAACCCTAAACCCTGAACCCTAGCCTCCCCCCCCCCCCAAAAAAAAAAAGAACATAGCACCACCCAAAAACTAATAACAGCCCCCGCCCTCCCTTCCCCCCCCCAAAAAAAGAAGCAATACACAAATATACAACAAACTCATAAGTACCCCCCGTCCCCTCGCCAAAATACAAGCAATACAAAGATAAAGAAAAAAACCAATACCACCCCACCCAACACCCCAAAACAAAAAGGAAAATATAAACATACGTGGGTGGTTGTCAAGATTATGCTCCCTGTTTGGATCCCTATTATAATACGGCAACAAATTATGTAGGGTACCACAAAAGGGATCATAACTTTCACAGCCACCCACATGCCTTAATATGAAGTATCGTAGTCAGGATATATAACCTTCCTAAACTCTAAACCCTAAACCCTAAACCCTAAACTCTAAACCCCAACCCCTATACCCTAACCCCTAAACCCTAAACCCTAAACCTCAAACCCTAAACCCTAAAAGCACACGAGGGTCGGAGGCGGGGGCGAGGCATGGGAGGGGGGGTCCCTTCGGCCAAGCCGGCGAACCCAGCTGGAGACCAAAGCCGGCCCGAGGCCTGCTTTAGGGGGTGGGGGTTTAGGGTTTAGGGTTTAGGGTTTAGGGTTTAGGGTTTAGGGTTTAGGGTTTAGGGTCTATATAGGGTCTAGGGTTTATAGGGTTTAGGGTTTAGGGTTTAGGGTTTGGGGCTTAGGGCTTAGGGCTTAGGGTTTAGAGTTTAGGGAGCGAGTGGGAAGGATTTCGACTCTTTAAGGGGTTTGGGGTGTAAGGGCTTTAACGGGTTCAGGGTTCAGGGTTCAGGGTTCAGGGTTTTGGGTTTGGGGTTTAGGGTTTAGGGTTTAGGGTTTGGGGCTTAGGGCACCTGTTCTCAGGTTGTTCTTGAGGGGTTTAAGGGGTTTACAGGGTTTAGGGGGCTTAGGGCACCTATTCTCGGGTTCTTCGCGCCCTTAGTTAAGGAGTAGACCTCTGACTGCATTCGGATGCCAGGCCGGCATATTCCTCCATGGTTGGCATTAAATCCTAGGCCCTAAAGCGCAGAAACCCCCTAGTTTGCAACAAGCTCCACCGAAAACATAGGATCCCATGAGGGCAGATTCTTAGTTGTCCAGTAACTAGGGGTTTTAAAGGTTAACCTTTGGGATTATAAGGTGAATACACTACCCCAAAAAGGTTAAAGGTTACCTACTCTACTACTAAGTATTTGCTTTGTATAAATCGCTGGTATACAAGGGCCGAAGATTCAGGGCCCACATTACTTGAAGGTTCAGGGTACCTCTAACCCCAATTGCAAGTGTACTTACCCCTACAGGTCCTCTAAGTAGGTTATAAGTAGAAGACTTCTAATTGGGGGTTATAAGTACCCATGAACCTCCAAGTACGGGGGCCACAAACTTGAAACTTAAAACTGTAGACCACGGCGGCCGAGACCCCGTTCAAATCTCATGGCTTCGAGGACTTGGGGGGGGGTGAACGCTGAACCCTAAACCCCAAACCCTAAACCCTAAATCCTAAACCCTAAAACCTAACCCTAAACCACAAACTCTAAACCCTACAGCAGAAGCATGACCCCAAACCCTAACGCCCTAAACCTATACTTCCCTTAGAACCTTAATAAACACAATATGCTTAATATCCTCTTGGGTTTTATATAAACAAAAATAAAAAATGATTCCCAAGGGGGAAAAAGAAACCTACATCCTACCCGTAAATGGAGTGCTGAGGGTTTCCGGGTTTCGGCCCGAGGGCTCGACGGGGTTGAGGTTGGGGTTTAGGGGTCAGGGTTTAGGGGCTCTCTAGATGATGGCTGCCTTCCAGGGCTTTGTTCTACGTGGTTTCGGGTCTTCATCGGGGGGTTTGTAGGGTTAAAATGAGCGAATTGATACGTAGTAATGTACCCTAAACCCCAAGCCAACAGTTCTGGGTTCTGGAACGTGGAGCCGCCCCAACCCTGAAACAGAACACCCAAACCCACCCTACATGGGCAGTTCTCTACCTTAGGGGTCCCTTTTGGGGGTCCCCATGTAGTACGGCACCTTAGAACAAAGAACCTCCAAAAGAGACCCTAATATAGAGCACTACTCACATGAAACCCTGAACTCACCTTTTCCCAGGTCGTCCATGATGTTGTACACCTCACCAGGGCTGGAGAAGGTTCTTGTAGGGTTTAGGGTTTCGGGTTTCGGGATTGGGGTTTAGGGTTTCGGGTTTAAGGTCCCCAAAACCCCAAGGTGGCTAGGGTCAAGGGTTTGGGCTTCGCAGCTATGGGATTTGGTACCTTATATCCCCCTAGATTACCCTGCTATGAGCGATTCTATGTATATATATATATACACATACATAATACTGTCAAATCTCTGAATGAGGGTAACCCCAAAAGGGACCATGTTTTTGAGAACGTGTGACCATGTGTGTAGAGGTGGGGGGGGGGGGGGTTCCGAAATTAGGGGATACCTTACTTGGTTTTCTTATTGTAATTGAATCCTACTATTTGGGGGTCTACATTGGGGGTCCCTTACTGTCGTAAACACCCATATATGTATATGTATATATATATATCATTTCAAAGAGCCCAATACCCCTTAACTAGGGAATATACCTTACATCATACTAAGGATCATGTGATAATGCAAGGTCAATTTCCTGAATGCACGGGTATTGGGCTGTTTGGGATAAGGTGCCCTAAAGCCTAAAGCCTAAACCCTAAACCCTCAACTCTAAACCCTAAACCCTAAACCCTAAATCCCAAACCCTAAACCCTAAACCCGCTCCCATATATGTATATATATATACATATCATAAGGATGTTTTCAGCTTTGGGGTGTATACGACTTTAGGGTTTAGGGTTCAGGGTTCATGGTTTAGGGCTTAGGCTTGAGGATATAAGGGTGCGGGTTCAGGCTGTTCACAACAGTCGTCCAAGTCAGCGCCGAGGGACACCGAAAACAGTCCCTCGAGACCGCGTCGCCACGGTATTCAGAAGCACAGCTTTCGCGTTGCTCCCTGCAATCCTTGGCCGGCGCTACCAGGATGGGCGAAAAGGCCCTGGAATCCCCATCATCAACCCGATAAAGGGGGTTATAGGGTATAATAGCCCGTCCTGGTCCCTAAACCCTCCGAAAAAGCAACGTAGGGTTTAGGGGGTTAGGGTTGAGCTTTAGGGCTTAGGGCTAGGGTCTACATAGGGTTTAAAGCTTCAAACAAGGGGGACTTGGAAGCTCAGCAACCAGATTATGATAAGGGTACCCTTTTTTGGGTTGGTCACTTACTTTATAAGTGAACCTTGAACCACAACAAGGGTAACAGGGTACCACTGGGTTACCAAGGGGAAATAGCACATATCTCCCCAGTTTCCGACCTAAACCCTGAACCCGAAACCCGAAACCCTAAACCCGAATCCCTAAAACCATAAAACCCTAAACCCAAAAAAACCCAAAAACCCCAAAACCCCAAAGCCCTAAAGCCCTAAAACCCAAAAACCCAAAAACCCAAAAACCCTAAACCCAAAAAACCTTCCTGCCCAGCATCGGCGCTAGGATCCCGCCGGCAAGCGCCAGGATGTAGAAGAGCACAGGGTGGCCCCAAGAGCCGGCAGAAGAAAAGAGGAACAGGAACCTCATCTTCAGTGGCTGCGGACGCTGTTTAGGGTTTAGGGTTTCGGGTTTAGGGTTTAGGGTTTAGGGTTTGGGGTTTAGGGTTTAGGGTTAGGGCCCAAACCCTAACTTAGACACAAAAAGCCCTAGATCCCAAGGGACGGCAGCATTCCGCCCCACACGGTGAGGCCCATGAGCCAGGCTTGTAGACGCTTGTCTTTTCTGTACAAATGCCTCGGATGGGATTTCAAACCGTATGTATAACCCTAAACCCTAAACCCTAAACCCTAAACCCTAAACCCTAAACCCTAAACCCTAAACCCTAAACCCTACTTATAACTACGCATGAACCTCCAACCCGGGCTGCAGGATGCTCCAGGGTTGTAGGGTTTTCTGGCTTGGGGTTCATATGGGTGGCTGTCAAAATTAGGATCCCTTTTGGGGTACCCTAAATATTAGATGCCGTATTATAATCGGGATCCAAAAAGGGACCATCATTTTGACAACCACCCATATCAGGATTTCAGGAATAGCGTGGAGGAGGAGGAGGAGGAGGCGGAACCCCAGAGGGTTTAGGGTTGGGTGTAGGGTTTGGGCTTTTGGGCTTTTTAGGGTTTCAGGGTTCAGGGTTTTAAGGATTTAACGTTTTAGGGTCTTTAGGGTAGATAGAGTTTCTATAGGGTTTAGGGTCTCGAAACGGTCAGGTGGCTGTCCCAACTTGCCACCGATGGCAGTGCCAGTTAAGCAGCCCACGCCAAAGCTGAAGAGCACGGTGGTGGCCCCCGGGACGCCCATATTCCTTTTAACGTGACCGTGAATACACGGGACTTCATAAAGGAACTGCGGCTCTCCATAGAGGGACACCACTCAACTAGCAAACAAAAAAGCGTACAGTAGCCGCCCCATAACTCGAGACCTCTACAAGCTGAGATTCGCGTTGGTGGCCAGAAAGTCGGCCAGGAACGTGCCGATCACGGCCCAAGGCACGCAACCAAAGATGCCTTGGTTCTTGGGGTAGTTGCATGGTCGCTTAGTATGGGCCCTAAAAAAGGGACCCCGTAGAAAACCCTTATATACACCATACAACCCAGGGCCCATGCATCAGAACCCCTTTTAAAGCGCCTTAGGCCCAGCTTGGCTGGAGGCTTTGAGTTTAGCCCCCAAGCCCTTGGCAATCAAGGAACCCCTCAACAACCCTTCCCCCCCCCCCAACCCCCTTCCACTCCACACGCGAAGCCCCATAACCCTGCACCGAAACGCTACCCAATCCCAGCAAACAGTGCCTTGTAGGCAGGTCAAGATCACCGTGGGCTTCGCCAGTGCAGAGCACAGGGAGGTGCAGTAGCCTAGGTTGGTCCAAGGGTGCTGGGTTTAGGGTTTAGGGTCTTAACCCAAAGAGAACCCTTGGCCGCAAAATTGCCCAAAAGCGTTCAATAATGAGGTCCTTGGGGCCTAAAATTCCTTCAAAGAAGAGTGCTTGGAGCCTTGGGGTAAAGGGAGAACCGATCTTATCCCAGGGATTGACCTAGTGGCTGGTAGAAGGCTCATTCTCGAGCTCCACCTCTTCCACCTTGTTCGGCTCCTTTTGAAGGGCGAACCTGAGATCTCAGATGGCGGCGAGGGGTTTAGGGTTTAGGGTTTAGGGTTTAGGGTTTAGGGTTTAGGGTTTAGGGTTTAGGGTTTAGGGTTTAGGGTTTAGGGTTTAGGGTCAAGGCACTGACCAGGGTACTGTGTACTTCCGAAACTTGAGGCTTCCAGGAACTTTATGAAAACCCTCTGCTTGGTTCTTTCTCTCCCTCGCTCTCTGCCCTTTGCTTCTGGCTCCGCGGAGTATGGGACTTAGTTGTCCAGTAACTAGGGGTTTTAAAGGTTAACCTTTGGGATTATAAGGTGAATATACTACCCCAAAAAGGTTAAAGGTTACCTACTCTACTACTAAGGGGAATAGGAAGTATAACTAGGGAGCAGTTCGTACACGAGGGTTCTAGTCAAAAGGTTCCAATCTCCACAGCACCTGAGACTTGTTGAGCCACCAAAACACCTAAACCCCCCAAACCGAGAACTTTAAACCTTAAAGCTCATCGCCTAACAAGCCAATCTCCTGAACACCTGGAGCCCTAAACTCAAAAATCCCTAAAGCCATGCCCCGGCAAAATCTAACCGAACACTAAGACCCTGAACCCCTAAATCCTATGCCCTCAACCCTCAACCCTACACCCTAGCCCTAAACCCTAAGCCCAAGGTGCAAGAGGAGGGTGATGCCCAAGCCTGCAGCCCCCACCAGCGCAAAAGGCGCCCTCCACCCTGCACTGGAGCCCAGAAAGCCGGCTAAAGCCTGGGCGGCTGAGGGTCCACGGTCCAGGGTCCAGGGTTTAGGGTTTAGGGTTTATATATCTTGAGGGTCTAGGGTCAGAGGGTCTTCGAGGGTAGTCTTAGGGTCTTCGGGCCTTTGGGTCTTCAACCCCCAGCTAGCTTACTGTTCACGCCTCATCTGGGTTCAGAGATTCGGTTTTAGAGGTTTACGGTTTGGGATTCAGGACCTTTTAACGGCCGCCAAGCGCAATTTCGATTAGCCGACGCAGGTTCTTGTGGTGCGACGCGTCAAGGGTCTTGAGGTGTTTGATTTCGAGGGTCACGGCATCCAGGGTTTAGGGTTTAGGGTTTAGGGTTTACACGGGGGTGGGGGGTGGGGTGGTGACAATAGTTGCCTGAAAGATTTTGAACTTTCGTGCGAACATGGATTCTGCACGGCCCGAAATGCGGGAGATGTACGAAACGCGCGTTGGCAGGCACCTTGTGTGTACTTCACCGGACGTTAACGTCATGTATACTATCAACAAAAAGGTGAACATGCCTGCGCGAAGTTGAGCCTGCTTGCGCAGGTCAAGCCGGGGGCTTAGGTTGTGCGTAGCGCTGTCTCTCTTGACTCCTGTCATGATCCGCATTCTTGAATTCCTGCATGAAGACTTGTGCCGTTGACCACTTCCGTCGCTCATGCTGCTATGGTTGTATTGCTCTTCTGATGATGATCAGTGCTATTATGGTTGTCGCTGCAATGCTATCGTTCAAGAATTAAACCTTCAACCCGGAACCCGAAACCCTGAACCCTAAGCCCTAAACCCTAAGCCCTAAAACCCTAAACCCTAAGCCCTGAAGCATTTTGGTCTCAAGGGACTGGAGGGCTTTGGCGGGGAAGTCGGGGGGTTGGGGCCTTCGCATAATTTAGAGGTGTCTAGGCAAGGTTAGGGTTTAGGGTTTAGGGTTTAGGGTTTAGGGTTTAGGGTTTAGGGTTTAGGGTTTAAGGTTTAGGGTTTAGGGTTTAGGGTTTAGGGTTTAGGGTTTAGGGTTTTAGTGTTTAGGGTTTAGGGTTTAGCGTTTAGGGTTGAGGGTTTAGGGAGTAACCTAGGAGAAAAAAACCGCCCGTTTTGGTTTTCGAGGGGCTCATAAGGGAACCTAAGACCCCCCCCCCCCTCCCCCGAAAAAACAAATTTGAAGAAGGGTCTACTCCGAGCCCTAGATACTGCTCATGAATCTCTAACCTCTAAGCCCAAATTGCTGAGCTCTACACGGGCTTAAGGGATAAGGAGATGGGGTTTTAGCGGTTGCTCTGGGGCTTGGGGGTTTACAGGGCTTCAGGGCCCTCAATGGGACGCGCGCCTGGCCCATAGCCGGTCCCATGCCAGAGATTACGGCCAGCATGGCGATTGCATGAGGCCGCTCATCTGCGGGGTACCTCGTCGGGGGGATTGGTGTTCAGGGTTTAGGGTTTTGGGGTTTAGGGCTTTGGGGTTTAGGGTCTTGGGGTTTGGGTGTAGGGTTGAAGATGGTGGGGTGCAGGGTTGAGGTTTTGGGATCGGGCACTCCCCTCCCCAAACTCCGTCCCTGGCATGAGAACGATAGTTCCTGTGGACCGGACAGACATCCAGCACCCTAACCCTAAACCCTAAACCACAAGCACGCCCCAGAATTCCTGAAGCCCTGAAGACTACCACCTACATCGGAATCGGGAAGCTTACAATTGGCATGTACCCGATGTACCCTGTACGACTTACTATTAATCCGTATTAGGGTATCTGGACTAACAACCCCTTTCTAGAGCTCCTTTCGTCCCCAAGGTTTGGGGTAACCCGAAACCCGAAACCCTAAACCCTAAACCCTAAACCCTAAACCCCAAGGCCACATGTCCCCGATGATGGCGAAGCTGGCCGGCAGCAGCCCGCCCACCGCAGCGCCCACCGCGCCGCGACAGAAAAGCAGCGAGCCTGAGAGCTGCTTGAACCAGGTGCAGTGGCCCTAAACCCTAAACCCTAAACCCTAAACCCTAAACCCTAAACCCTAAACCCTAAACCCTAAACCCTAACCTTAAACCCTGAACCCTGAAACCTAAATTGGTTTCAGAAACGGGCACCCTGAGCGTGGGCACCCCCTGTTGTAAGTGCGAAAAGTGAGAGGAGGACAAAAAAAGAGAGAAATCGAGGTACCTCAGCCTGGGCCTTTTTGGAAATTACAAGTCTAGGGCGGGGTTTATAGGGTTCTGGCTTAACTTCAGAGTTAAAGCGCCCTTCGGGGTTTAGCGGTGTGATGTAGGAATGAAGTGGTATTGGGCTCTTGGGTAGGGATTTGGGGTTTTTCGGGTTTGCTCCCGTAGGGCCAGGTCAAGCCCTAGCCTTCTGCTTGGAAGGGTTTAGGGTGTAGGGGTTTAGGGTTTAGGGTTTAGGGTTTAGGGTTTAGGTTTAGGGTTTAGGGTTTCGGGTTTAGGGTCCTGAGATCTGAACCTTTGGCCCAAAGCCCGACACCTCCAAAAAAGCCAGAACAACTTGTGGAGGTTCCTTAAACTAACTCCAGTTAGGTTTGTAAGTGCCCTTAATTCTTGCCTACGGTGAACCGGGTTTAGGGTTTAGGGTTTAGGGTTTAGGGCTTCAAGCTCCACAAATAAGCCCTTGGGCATCAAGGGGTATAAGGAGGACCCCTAGAAGGGACCCTTACTCTTATTCCCCTTATAATAACCCCTATATCTAAACATATATATAAATATATATATATATATATACACTTTATATAGCCCCTATACACCTAAGCAGCCCCGCAAGAACCCCTAAGGTCCCTTATGAAGGTCCCGCCTTTAGTCCCTTGACTGTAGCCCCCAAGCCCAGAAATGGCAAAGTAGAAAGACGTGCTTCCCTGAGCGGCAACGTGCCTTAACTATTCGGGCACAATATAAATCAGAGAACATTCGAGGTAGGCCCCAAACACTCACCGCCTAAACCGCAACCTGCAAACAAAGCACCAAAGCCCAAGAAGACCTAAGACAAAACATATGGGGCTTAGGGTTTCGGGATCCAACACTCCAAACCCCCTAACCCTAAACCCAAAACCCAAAACCCTAAACCCTAAGCCCTAAACCCTAAACCCCACATCGACTTAGGAAGGGGCTGAAGTTCGCCGCCCGCGAGTTGGCTAAGGTCCCGCAGGCACCGACGAGCATGCAGATGGAGACCAGGGTGGTCCTGGTGTAGGGTTTAGGGTTTAGGGTTTAGGGTTTAGGGTGTAGGGTGTAGGGTTCAGGGTTTAGGGTTTTGGGTTTAGGGTTTAGGGTTTCAGGTTTAGGGGGCTTACTCGGGGTTCAGGGTTTAGGGACTTGGGGTTCTAGGGTTTCGGGCGCATTGCGGGTTTAAGGATGTAGGTGCTGGTATGGTTCATTCTGTTGAGGGGTTCGGATCTTTAACAAAAGTCTGGGTCTCAGGCATAGCTCTAAGTCTCTAAGTAAGGCTATCAGCCAGCTAATCTGCACTACAACCTTGTTTCAGGTGCTTGGACATAACCCTACATTAACAAGCACCAAGTAGTGCCCAGCGCTAAGAAAGTTTAGGGAAGCAACAAGTAGTGCCCAGCGCTAAGAAAGTTTAGGGAGATCAGGGCGGTCCTGTTGAAGGTCGTTCGTGAACCTCCCGGAACCGACTTGTTGCAGTAGGATCCATAGACTCATGTCTCTCTCTCTCTCTACATACAGACATGGGTGACCATCTACAAATGCAACCCTATTTGAGATGGACTTCCATTAAAGGGGGCCCTACTGCAGAAGTAGGTGTTGGAGGTACAAGGCAGGAGGCTTACAGTTGAGAATATGGGAGCCGAGAGTTTAGGTCTGAGGGTGAGGTACGTAAACTTTCGTTTGGGTCTCGGACTTTGAGGCGGGTTCAGGGGCTTTGGGGGTTTAGGGGCTTCGGGAACTTAAGGATCATCTTGGGGTCCTCAAGGTTTGGGGGACTTGTTGACTCTGCCTGCTCTGATGCTTTAGGGGAAGCCCAATCTGATGAAACATTGAGCCCTAAACCTGTAACGGGTCTCGGGTTTAGGGTTTAGGGTTTAGGGTTTAGGGTTTAGGGTTTAGGGTTTAGGGTTTAGGATACAATAGGGTCCACGGTTCGAACCATGGAGCCCTTTCCCCTAAATGTCTGGGCCATCCGGACCATAAACTATATGCCCCCATGAGCCGTACACCATGAACGCATGGAGCCCAAAGCCCGGGAAGGGTTTAGGGTTTAGGGTTTAGGGTTTAGGGTTTAGGGTTTAGGGTTTAGGGTTTAGGGTTTAGGGTTTGGGGTTTAGGGTTTAGGGTTTAGGGTTTAGGGTTTGGGGTTTAGGGTTTGGGGTTTAGGGTTCAGGGTTCAGGAATTGGGGTTTAGGGTTTAGGGTAACCCCAAAACCCTGAACCCCGTCCGCTTCATGAGATCCGCGAGCCGCCCCGCAACCAATGAGAAGAGGGCGCCGGAAGTGAAGAAGACGATGCTGACAATTCCCCCGAGCCTTGGCTTTGTTTAGGGTTTAGGGTTTAGGGTTTAGGGTTTGGGGTTTAGGGTTTAGGAGACGATGCGCACAATTCCCCCGAGCCTTAGCTTTGAGTTGTGGGGTCCGAAAACCTTAAACCCTGGTCTGCCCCCCCCCCCCCCCCCAGAAAAAACGGACCACGCAACCCCAAAACCCCTAAACCCACGACCAGTTAGGGTTTTGGGTTTGGGGTTTAGGGTTTAGGGTTAAACCAAGCCCAAACCCTAAAACTCTAAAACCCTATAGACCCTAAACTGTACATCAAACCGCTCGCAACCTCTACTACCGCCCTGGACGACCCCACTCGCCCAAATATTTGGGTTCAGGGTCCAGGGTTTAGGTTGTAGGGTTCAAAGTTTCAGGCGTTTAGAGTTTAGATTACGGTTCGGGGGTTTAGGGGAAGCCCCAAATGCTGCCCTAAACCCTAGAGCGTCTGGGCAGTCAGAAGCAACATGCTGAATCAACCACCCTGGGACCACCCCAACCCCTAAACCCTATACCCCTAAACGGCTAAGATTCCTCAACCCCCCAACCTAAGCCTCCCAAATGCATACACTCGTGCCGATATTTTGCATTGCATCGCTCACTCTTTTCCCAGACCCCTGGGAGGATCCAATATATAGAGCTCCCAAATAACCCAAATAGTACACTATACTACTATTGGGTCATTCATAGGGTTTCGGGTTTAGGGTTTAGGGTTTAGGGTTTAGGAGGAGCCCTTCAAGGAGTCTACGTTTTGGAATCCTCCCAGGGTTCCGGGTTCCGGGTTTTCACTGTCGCACGAAAAAAGCTTTCCTCTCCGCCATTCTGGGGGCTGTGGCAATATGAGCAGAGTGTTCTTTTCGTTGCCCTAAACCCTAAACCCCGAACCCTGAACCCTGAACCCTGAACCCTAAGCCCTGATCCCTGAACCCTAAACCCTGAACCCTAAACCCTGAACCCTAAACCCTAGGGGTGAAAAATGCTGCCGACCTTCTACCCGGGGTACGTGCTAAGCCTTTGATGAAGGCCTACCGGGCCTATGCACTAAGATGCTCCGTGCCCGAAACTCGAGCCTACACGCTGCCACGCGGCTATGGTGTCGCTGTAGTATAATGGCTCCTTCCAAGAATCTGATTTGCACACGAACTCCCACGTGACGAAAAAATGCTGCTCATATGACACTCTGACACTACGACGCGACCTCCTGGGAAGGGTCAAATTCAAATTCACACACTCCCAGCGAAACGAAGGTATAGTGTCAAGCTGTTGAATGGCGAGAAGACCCGCTGTTGGCAAAGGCAAAACCCTAAACACCAAACCCCAAACCCCAAACCCTAAACCCTGTCCATCTGTAGTACTATTATGGAATTAGGTACCCAAGAAAATCCTAAACCCTAAATCCTAAACCCTAAACCTATTTCGTATGGTTTTTGGTACCTCATTCCATAATGGTACCACACAGGTGGACCCTCTGGGTCAGAGGTCAGCCAGTTCCAACGGGCGGGTGTCTCTCTGGCCCAACTACCGTACCCTCCCTATGCTTGGGGCCCCTTTTGCCGCAAGCAGGAGTATGGGGGCCTACCCACAAAAAATTGGCGGAAGCGGCCTCACAAGGCTCGCGACCAAACAAAGCGAACATTCGCATGAACATCCAGTCCAAGTGGGTAATTCTCTAAGTTAGTGTCCCTTCTTTGGGATCCCTTGTTAAAGAGTGCCGCCTGATAATGGGTGCCCAAAGAGGGGCCCTAATGTGGGAAACTATAAAAGCCGATGGAATGACCTTGGCCTGTCCATGTGGCACATGGATGTTGACGTTTTCGACATGGCTTTGGGCACTCTCATGCCCTGATACTCTTGTCTGTCTGCACTTCAGCAGACATTGAGTCGTTGAGCTCTGAGCGCATCTCTATCGGAACGTCTGCCCGAACCCTAAACCTCAAACCCCAAACCCCAAACCCTAAACCCTATACCCTAAACCCTAAACCCCCAAACCAACCAAGGGGCAGACTCAACTCCGAGGCGCAAGCAGGGGTGTCTCGGACTGTCCGTTGCACGGTAGAAAACCCAGAAACCCTAAACGTTCACATGATAATATTCTATCCTAGTTTAGGGTTTAGGGTTTAGGGTTTGGGGTTTAGGGTTTAGGCTTTAGGGTTTAGGGACCCCTAAACCCTACAGCCTAAACCCCAAACCCTACACCCTTCTCCAAGTTAGGGCCACTCTTGGGGAACCCAAACAATGGAGGTTGCTACTATACGACAGCCCCCCCCCCCCCCCCCCCCCCTCCCCAATATTCAGGTACCCACGATGGGAGCATGATTTTGAGAAGTACCCCTAAACCCGAAACCCTAAACCCTAAATCTTAAACCCTAAACCCTAAACATCTCAAGCCGCTTGCATCGGAAGGTGCGTCCCCGGGAATGTGAACGAGTGTGACATGGGGGGTTTCCGAAACGAGGAGTTTAGGGTTCAGGGTTTAGGAGTTTAAGAGTTTAGGGCTCAGGGTTTAGGGATTAGGTACCTGACTGGGGTCCTTCCTACATGGGAATCCTACTATTTGCCTACATGTTAGGGGTCCCTTGTTTTCGTAAACCCCCCACATGTGGCTATGTGAGCAGAGTTCATTTTTCTTTGCTCGGGATCGAAAATGCTGTCGACCTTCTATTCGGTGCACACGCCTATACGCGGCGGTGGCTCGTGTAATCTGCCTACGCGAACCTACGTCCTGCAGAGAGAAATTGCTACAATAATCTGATTTGCGTACGAACTCCCCATGAGCGAAAAAGAATGCTGCTCACATGACACTATGCCACAACGAGTCTGATGCAAGCTGGTGAGAAGCTCTGCAGAAGCCAACGGAGGGGAGAGTGGAGACACAAAGAAACCTACCGATATGGCGAAGGCATACATTCCACAGGCTCAAAGGCAGAACGGGTTGAATGGCTGTCCCTTCCGTCCCTTCTGCGCAGACTCCAAACACCCCTCCATTACCCCGCACCAGCTTCTGCAAGCTTGCCTGGAACCCAGCTGAGGAAGGCCCCTGCCTTCCGTCTCAAACCATCCGAGGCGTCGCTGCGACTGCGACCTCCATATGTTTTTTTCGCTAAACGCCATTGACATATGTTTTTTTGCTAAACGCCATTGAAATCGTTGCGCAAGATCGAGAAAAAGCACCCAGACTCGAAACGATTCTCTTTTTCGAGAGGTCGTCCAAGCAGCACTGAACAGCGTGCCAGCATCCCTAAACAGCCTAACCAGCCTAAACATCCCAATCATCCTAAACATCCTAAACATCCTAAACCACAAACACTCCGCTAAACAACTCCGGAATTAAGCCTTCCCCTACATCCGGATCACCATCTGGGAGGCAGCACAACTGGCACAGGCTCATGGAGTCAATCTTGCCTGCAGAATTGATGCCGACGTGCCTGTCTTGATGAGAGACGTCGGTCAGGCTGCAGGCAAAGCAGGCCGCTGAGGAGTTCATGACCTTCGTGAGCGTGAAGCTCTGGTCGCACGTCGAGAATGGGTCTTAGTCCTGTCGGCTGCCACTGTGGAAACATGCCTTTGAAATTGCAGAGCTGCGTACCCTGTGGCCAATTCGTACATGACGGCGTTCCCAGCAGCTGAAAGATCTGAAACAAAGTGCCAATTTGAGAGTCTCCGGGGAACAACGGGCGCCCGGTCAACATCTCTGCGATCACACAGCCTGCTGACCAAGTGTCCACTTCAAATCCATAGCGAGTTGCGCCAAGGAGGAGCTCTGGACTCCTGTACCAAAGCGTCACCACTTCCAGCGTCATCGGCTGCTGATTGCTCACGCGCGCCAGGCCAAAGTCTGCTATCTTGAGGACACCTTCGGGGCTGAGGAGAATGTTCTGTGGCTTTATGTCGCGGTGAAGAAGCTGGTTGGTGTGGCACGCATAAAGGCCTTCTAAGATGTCCGCGGAGTATTGCCTAACTTGCTCAATCGACACGCGCCCGGAACTCCTCTTCAAGACCATACGGAGGTCAGCCGGATGAAGCTCGAAGACCATCCGAATCTCGTCACGGCCCACATGCACATCGAGCAGCTGCACAACGTTGGGATGATTAAACCTGCGCAGCAGTGACACCTCCCGCACTGCGAAGGTTGGCACACCGTCCCCAAACACCTCGGGGTCATAGGACACTTTCTTAATGGCCACGACCTGCTTGGTGCTGATGTGCTCGGCTTTCGTGACCTCGCCGAAGGCACCCTGGCCTATGCGTTCGATCATCACATAGTCGCCACACAAGCAGCGTCCTCGTCCCTCATGCAGCGCGCAGAGACCCGCATGTCTCGCAATGATCTTCTGGCTAGCAAAGTGAACCGCTGATTCACTCTGGGCGACTGCGGCGAGCACGATCTCTTCATCGTCACACAAGCACGGCTCCGCATACTTCAATGCTTGCCCGTCCTGCTTCACGGCCGACAGGACAATCTCCCGGTCGCCCTTGAAGCTTGCATCGAGAAACTCAAGAAGTCGTCCTTCATGACTCACAGCAGCTTCGGCTGTCGACCGGTCACCCCAGATTTCCTGGCAGTAGTCCTCGGCACCCTTCGCATTCTGCAGCACGCAAGCAATCATCATCTGTACCACAGGATCCGGGTGAAAGAGCAGGCGGTTCAGCCTCTGCACTGTCTCGTGGCCGAATCGCGGGCCTAGCTCGGAGAGCAGTCGGATTGCGGCTCGCTTGACATCCCAAACAGGGTCGTTGAGCATCGAGATGACCTTGCGGAGGATCGTTGCAGCCTCACTCCCATCAACCACCTCAAAGACACTGCGGTTGAGGGACTCGAGGGCCCCTACTCGACGGGTGGCATCATCCTGGCACTCCAGCATGGTGAGGACCTGCAGCAAGTCCAGGCTTCCCGGGATTTTGGGAGCCCCCTCGG